CTCGCTAAGATTTACGATCAGCGTTGTCCTCAGAGTATATGTTCGCGGCGTTGTCTTGCATAAAGGTATGCTGAGTAGGTAATTAAATTCGAGAGGGATTTTGTAGAGAAAATGTCAGTGCCTTAGATCTTCATTGTTACTAGACAAAGAACAAGCTGTAGCGTATAAATATGCTGTGTGTGTGAGATGGTTATGGGTTATAAATGAAGAACCATGTACGTACATGGGGACACAGGGATGTATCATAAGTGGAAATGGTCCTTGAACCCACCCCCCACCCCCCACCGCACCCAACCCACTTCCGCCCATATACTCAATTTAAATATCCCCACCCCCACCTTCACACCATGTTTGAAATAGAGAAAAATAGTATGTTGGATTTAGTATGTGGCGCTACAGTTTGGTGTCTGTATGGTATGCAATGATTGCCAGTGTTAAATGAGAGAAACTGCAGGATTCAGAAAAGAAATAGTGGCACAACAATGTACGTTAATTAGAAGTAACTTACCAAGTACATAAATGTACGCCACGTTATAGTGAACAATGAAAACATCGAGAGGACCTCGTTAGACACATACTGTGACGGGTGTTTCCATTGCCCAAATAAAACATATATACGTGTTTCCCCCTGATTTTCCACGTTTCTTGTTAAGACTTGTCATTTTTAACACACATCTTGATTTACTATGGGAAATGAAGCAAGTGGGAGATAACTCAATACAGCTGACGTCATTATCATATCAAACGAAAGTAAGAGATATTATATCATAGAAGACTAACTTCGAGCTAACGTTATGTGCCACGGAAGTAGGTTGAACGGAAACGAGCGTACGATTGAGGCTGGCGCGAGACCAACTGTAGACACGCTACTCCACATCTGCGGAGGGTGTGAAACACGTACCAGGTATTGGTCACTGTCTTTAGGACTGATTACCCCGGCCATCAGTGCTTCGTGGAGGAGGAACCACGGTAACCGAGTAGGGTGGGTGGGGCCACGTGGCCACTGTAAAAGGACCTAGGGAACATGCACTGTACAGGGACGTAGGGTGTTTGGGGCTCACGTGGCCACTGTAGAGAAACATTTCTCATGCGCACCTTCTTAGGTTGGATTCGCACGTGACCAAAAAAAATAATAGAAATAACAAAAACTGTCCTAAGGTATCCTTTCTAGTGCAAAACAGTGTTAAGTTGAATTAGTACTTTTTTAAAATATGGTGTATATTTTTATCATGTATGTTAAACATATTTCGGTTTAAAGCTTTCGAAATATAAATAATATAAAAATATTTCGACATATAAAAATGGGTCAGTTATGAAATCAAACAAATTAATAATCGTAGTATTTTGATATATCATGACTTTACAGTATTGACGTGTCAATGACCATAACAAGATTTCTAAGCTTGATGGAGGAAAATGTTGATTGGTGAGAAAGCGTGTTACGAACGCCGCAATTTAAGCACGATTTCTTACCTGGGCCAGAAATCCACATGATAGATATAAAAATCGAGGTGTAACAACGTATGCAATAGGTCATTTGAAAACTAATTATTACGCCCCTGTAGAGTGATCTTAGGTGGCAGCTGAACTCGGAGGTAGTTAATATAATTTATTCCTTAAAGTTAGATATTAACGAAAAGGTCTAGCAACGGAGTATTTTTTATTAATTTTTGTTGAATGAAACATTGTTTTTGACCAGAGTTAGTTAAGTTTCAAAATTTGCAAAAGTAAAACAAACTAATGAGAGTATGATAAACCTGATAGCAAACCATGACGAGTCGGTGAACCTGTTTCCACAAAAACGATTATACAGGACTATAATTTCAAACCCGGAAAAAATATCCGCTAATCATGTTTTAACCAATAAACAAAAGTACACTTTCTTAAGCATTGAACTGCTTTTGTATGGTATTTATGATCTATTTGAATGACACAGCTTTGCAAGCAAACAACATAATGCGCGCTAGCGCATTATGAGTTGTTTGCTTGCAAAGCTGTGTCATTCAAATAGATCATAAATACCATACAAAAACAGTTCAATACTTATATTTACGTTTTCTCTGCCTCTTATGTTCTTTTTTAACTTATAATTTAAAATCAAAATTAAAAATGCCCGCCTTATCGACAGTCCACACAATTTTGTTCAATAGTTTGAACAGCGTATTGTCGCGTGCTGATTGGCAAACAAAGTAGTGCTTTGAACTTTTTAACAAACACTTCAATTTTATTCCACAATTCAGTATCAACACAATTGCGTATGATATGTCTATAGGGTGATTTAAGTTTATCAATAGAACTCTGAGCTGAAAGTTAGATTTGAAATTGTTTCGATTTTTCCCCGGAACAAATTTCGCGCATGGACAAATACAGTGAACACCGTAAATCCGACCTTGCCCTCCACGAGGGAGTTATTTTTGGAAGTTAATTCGAACTTTTCTCTTCGCTCATTTTGTGAAGAATCCAGGCATGAATTTATTTGTTGATTGTATGGGAACCTGACAACAGTCGGTAGATTCTATAACAGCCTCGTTATTTGACATGTCGTCAGAAACTGAGGAACCGTGGATGCGAGACGCGTGAAACTGATAGCGTTTGAAGTGAGTGATCTTGCGACGGAGCACAGGTTCGTTACAAATGTCTGAAATGTTTATGTGTGCTGTGACTCATATCAGTAGGTCTGTAACATTTGTGTCAGTCGGTCTATAGAATATGTGTATTTCAGACATTTGTAACGAACCCCTGTTGATCAGTGCAGTGTAACAGACGATATTTCTGATAAATTGCATGAGCGTTAAAATTGTTTCCATTGCCGGCATTGGTGATTTCAACCGATGTGCATTTTGTACGATATTGCAGACCTTGGTCTTGTTTTCGTTGTGATAAAAGTGTTTTTTTATTTTATTTTTATTTTGCACATAAATTTACAATGACATTGTCAAATCTCGCAATGCTCAGCGATATTTCAGCAGCCGTCATGTTTATTTATATTGGATATTGTAGTTCCGGTCAGTGTTGTATTAATACGCTAAGAATTTTGTCTCGTGATGCATGGTAATTAAAGTCCCATCAACGACACAGCTTTCAAAGAGGCTATAGAGTGACAATGCCATGCAAATGTAGATATAGTCTTTTAACTACATGTGGTACATGAAGAAGACACACATGCTTTTCCCGGCTATTGTATGTAACACGAGCCGGCGAGTGGTGAAACGCATGTATTAACGATAGAATTAATATAAAACAATCTATCCCATTTCACATGACGCATATTTATGCATGATTTACACATAATTAAATTCCTTTGGTTCAATTGCATAATGCATTGTAATTCAAAAACTCAATATAAGCCCATTCATACAGTGTTCTAGCATTAATGTTATTATAAAAAAACAATCGTATTTTAGGTAAATTTGGGGCCTTATAAAGGGTTCTTCCCGCAGATACTATCTGCTGTATTTTCCCAAAATCATTGCAAAAGTCACTTTATTTTCCCAAAATCATGATTATATTTTTTATTATTTTCCCAAAGTCACACGACACAGGTCCCTGTTGAAAAGAGGTAGAAAAATTGCTAGTCTGTATGAGAAAAAAGACTGTGATTAAATATAAATGTTTTAAATGTTATAACAATATCATAAAAGTTATATTTAACTGGAGACGGGTGAGTAGTTTTACGGTAAATACAATGACAGTGATGTTTCTGTCATCCCACTGCATAGATCTCTATCACTGTCGTCGTTACTTTTCAGACGCTCAACATATTTGCTCAACTGTACTTTTAATATTTCAGCTATTACGCTTCACCATGTAAACATAATTGACCCTGAAATATTTTAAAGTGCATCACTCTTGGTTCATATTTTATTTTCAAAACCGACCATTAACACAATACATCACGTCCTAACCTAAAGACAATGGACAACAAAGTGTGACGTAGGTCTTCAATTTCAAAACACAATGTTTCCAGCAATGTGATTCATATTTGTTCTATTACGCTGTTAAACAGATCAACATACGAAATTAAAATTAAATTAAATTAAATTTCAGCCATATCCACGATTTGACGAACTCATTACCACTCATATTATGGCAGACTCAATGTCATACAATATGAAGGATACTCAAAAATATAACGGACTCATTCAGACGCTTACACGATAACGGGCTAAATGATCAAAGCTGTTAATATGATGTAAAACACAAACAATCCAAACACAAAAAGTGACAGATTCAATTCCGTCGCGACACTATAACGAACTCAATGTCATACGGAATATCATACTTATAATAACAAAATATAACGAAGTCGGCTACCTTCCGACAATATGACGAACTCATTGTGATATGGCGGGCTCAACGTCATACAGTATGACAATTTCAATGCCATCCTTATGACATGAATGACTCCTTGACATGCATACAATATAAATGACGGACTCAATTAAATGCATCCTTACATTACGACATGCTCGTCAACCCAGTAGAAAATGGAAACCAACTTGAGATGGTGTCGATGGCTCAATGGTCATGTCTCAATTATCACTGTTCCTGTATATAAACATGTATGCTAATTTATTTGGCCTCAGTCATCAGTGGTCTGGCGGCTAAGAACGACAGATGAAAACAAAGCATTTAGAAATTGTCCTGTAGAGGACCATGCACTCTCGTCATCTTACGTACCCTTGCAGGCAGTGCCAGACCCGGGGGTCGACCTCTGTGGCTAGGTGGTGACGTAGTTAAGACGACGCGGGGGAACCCCAGCTCGTCTGTCTGTATACCTAATAATTGGATGCCAATTTAGCGAGCACCATTTGTACTACACGAGATCATAGTATGTATTTTGGTTTTGGTGGTTAGGAGATTCACACGCCTGGCCTTAGATACGGGATTGTTGTGTACTGTCTGTACCTGAGTGAGCCCATACTGTGGTTGGTCGGAGGCGAGCTGTGTAGTATTTAACATCGACATGTCACTATTGAGATAATTTTTTACTCTTTCAGTTCTTGGAGACGTACATTTACCAATTTCTGAAGTGATTTTGATACCGGAAGTTTCAGGTGAGTTGACTCCCTTTGTTGTCATTATCTGTGTCATCATGCATACGTTTTAGATTAAATTGCTGTATCGTAGAACTCGTAATTTAAAATTATATTTCCGTACAAGACAATCGGTTCTTTTTTTTCTATACGTTAATTGCCATTCGGAAGGTATCAATGGTTTACCATTTTACAATATGGAATCGACAAAACAGAACTAACGGATATGGTCATAGTCCTTACTGTATCGGATATATTTAGTTCACTAATGATTTTTTCATGCGGAATTATGTGAACCGTATTGATATATATCGCTTACAAATATTTATACTCATCAGACGTCTGATTCAGCACATCAGGAACAAATTAGAGTAATCGTTTTTCGGACATAATTATATTTTTAACTAATTTGACTGTATTATTTTTGTTATTACAAATTACATTATAATCAGTTATGCATGAATAGAAATACAAAAGAAAGGAAAAGAAAAAGGTAGAGCCTAATGAGGTGAGCCGGCTCCTGGAGCGACGGCTCGAATCACGGCTATTTGGCAATGAATACGATATTTTGTTGCAAATATTTTAGAATAAATACAGAAAAAATGTAACGTTTATCTCAATGACGCGCATATAAAGCAGATATCAGGGTTGTTCAATGATAAGGTGTTTCTACTTTGATGTAAGAACGTTTATACACTGCTTCGAAGGTCAGACGAATGGTAAGCTATTCCATTAACGAAATAACGACTGTTACGTATGTCTCGAAATCATAGCTTTGGTCCCAGTAGAGCGGGGGAACACTCGTACATTAAAGGACAATTTGTGGTCGACACTGATACTAGCCTGTCCGGCCACAAGTTGAAATATGAGTCCACCCTCGTAGTTTGGACAAATCTTGAAATCGGAAGTGCATTACTCTTACTTCGATCACCCTCGGGGTTTGGACAAATCATGAAATTGGAAGTGCATTACTCTGACTTCGATCACCCTCGGGGTTTGGACAAATCATGAAATCGGAAGTGCATTACTCTTACTTCGATTTCAGAGAATTACATGAATTCCATTCGAGAATTTCGGTACCTAAGATGAGGCAATACCACACAGATGTCTTCTCCTGAGAACTTAGATTGCATGCATTTATTGTGCATATGGATCATGTCTTTCGTTTACGTGAAACGTAAGCATGTATACAGTAAGAGCGGTGGTACCGCTTGTGGTATATGCCTGCAAGTGTTCTTGATATGCATAAAAACAAAACAAAAATTCTAAACATTCCTCATGTTTAATCCGTTTTTATGCTAAAGTTTCTTTTCGAAAACAACAATTGCGTCGTAGACAGATCATAAAGACATCATTTTACCATTGCATAAAGGCGTTAAACTATTCCGAACGTGTTATTGTTTCAATTTATAGATTTGAGAACTACTCATCACAGAAACGTTACTAGCTTAATGTCAAGTATATGTTAAATAGCACACACTTTTATTACAACCTCAATGGAAAGCTCATAATTATTTAAGTTGGGGTCGGTCTTTTGTGAACTTGCATCGGTATTATACTTTTTAAATAATAAGCAGACCTTTTTATCTTTATAACGTCACTTCAATTATAACGGCACGATGCTCTCCGCCAATTCAGCACTTCTAAACGATTTTTCTATGTTCCATCTTGTTTAATGAAAAAAAACTAGGCAATTTTTCATATCTCATATGACACTGAGTGACTTTCATTCCAGTGAATAATGGTTATAGTGGCCTGAAAAATGATATTGACCTCGACTTTGTCTGGTTCATATGACCATACGTTAACTTCAACCGAAGTCCATCGTAAAAATATTTCATCACAGAATGGTTAATATCGCTGTTATTAGCCCTTTGTAAATAAATAAATATGTATAGATCAAAGATGTAATACCAACGGTAAAATTCCATATACCACTGTGGATCCATAAAAAACGGCTGTTTGTACGAAACAAATAATAAAAATCGGTATATATGGGACAAGGAAGTAAGTACAAAAATGTAAACAATACATTGTACAAAGGTGCTAAAATTTCCGGAGCAATCCGCTCATTTACCGGAACACAGAAAACACGAAACAACTATTTTACATTAGAACAAATGGAAATATGATAGGGTATAACATAACTAGTACTTTAAAAACAATAACCTCCTCGGCTAGCGTACGCCGGAGGCAGACTTTCACTGACTGCATCGTTAACCTCTTGGGGTTTCGTGTTTTTCTGCGTCTCAATTCGCCCTCGAATTGCCCCGAAAATTTGACAACCTTATATTCTTACACTTTTGGAATGAATTCCTTGCCCCATTAATATCTTCACAGAAAGGTCAATATCAGATAAATAGTCCTCAACATAGAAAGAGATACTATCAAGTATACATATCTTATCACTAAAGAGCTCGAGGTGACCCTATTGTGTATTGTTCATCAGGGGAGCGCAGCCGTACCGTATACACTACGGAGTAAGATTGATGGTTAATTAATGTTAACGGTACAAACCACTGTTACTCTGAATGAAAGAAATGGTTATTTAATAGGCTATCATATTGTAGAAATCTCTTTAACATTGGTTATTAGAGAAAGTGAAAAGACAGGCGTTTGTGTGAGCGGAATGATTGATGCGTTATCTACACAGCATCTTGTTATCTACCATTGCGTATGTTCTATCGCCTGTGCGTGCGAAGATACATCCAAGAATATGAGTATCGGAAAAAACACAATCCTCTCTTATCGAACTGACCTATATCTAAGTTGGTTATTTTAGTCATCATCACATCGGACCTTTCCACGCTGACCTGGCCGGGTGGGGGGTCCCAAGGTCAGTCGGAAAGTAGGCACCTTTTCCCTATATACGGTTGTCATCCAATCAATACTGAGTGTCCAAACTAAGAATGCACCTAACATTTCTATTTAGAACTACTTACCTTTTCAATTTCCGGATAGAATTACAAAATATGTTTCAAACCATTTTCATTTGCGCTGATTTGTTGTGATAATAATCTTTATTGATGTATTCCAAGCGAAATGGGATATTATATAGTTTACTTATTGATCCTCTGTTGACATCAATATGGTATGTGATGAATTTGTAACGGAGGGCACTGTCACACATTCGATTCCTGGTTCGTGTTCCAGTATATCATCTTCAGCATCCCGACCTATTGGAGCAAGATACAAGGTTAAACAGAACAAGTCATTATGTCTGTATAAACAGACCAGATTACTTTTCTTGGCGATCATGAATTTCTTAATAAAGTCCGAACGAAGCCGGTCGTGGTTTTAATTTGTATACTTACTTAGGGATCGGATATTTATAATTATATTAACTAAATCGCGGCCGTTAACAGGTGCTGAAAATTGACCAATTGATGCCTTCCGTATGTACACTATCGCGCGTTTCTCTAGCGTTGACAGGAGTTTGCGCGTTAGTAGCCGCGGTGATGAAGCGTTTGTTTATACTGTGCCTTTCATCGATAAAGCGTCTTTGATCCAAATAAACAGTAGCATGAATTTCTCGAACATTTGTACAAGACCTCTCAATACAGAGAAAGGGATTTTGATAAGCATTCCACACTGGAATCTTCTCTCGAGTAAACGTTGACAAAGATGAACTTCCTTGTATGATGGCTGATGTGTGCCATACCGTTGTTAATTTTTTTCGCCCCAAAACGACCATTTTAAATACTATGCTTAAATCTCGTTCGTTCGTCTCTACGCTACCAAAAAACTCCGAAAAGAAGAGCAAGTCCTTGCAAATTTTCGAGGTAAAATGTGGTCTTTTTGTTACTTTGTCTCATCGCCCTAAACAGACGAGAATCTTCCGATGTTATTTCCAGTTTTATCGTTACCTCTCATCAAGAAAAAGAGAAATAGTATATCTTAATTCTCGTTCTGTCGTATTTTTTTACTCGGAAGAAAGAGAATAAACAATTCATTGAAAAGGCAAAATTACGAAACTACATGAATATGCCATCGTATCCAAGAGATAAACATATTATATAATTTGATTAATTTCGTTGAAAGTTAGTCGTATACATATATTATACAAATACATTGAACAAGTATGAAAGAACCACTGACTTTCATCCGTCTTGTCTATTGCTTGGCTTTATGGTTAAATTTGAAGCATGTTAAGATCGTTCTGATTTCCCCCCCAAAATGGAAATAAATACCTTTTCAATCTCCTTATTATTTGACTCTGGCCACATGGCTAGTTGAACTGTTCATGTGAAAAATACATCAAAAAACGGTACCAGTTGCACGGGATAACAACGAGTGTGTGTAACTGTTACTTCCGGTTTATTTCCTACAGATCAAAGATCCACCTATCGGAGGTGTGAGAAAAATGGACTTGGTAAACGACATTTATTTCGTTGGTATAATAGTCTAGGGTAAGGGGGCTTATAATAAGTAGAAGATAGCATGCGTCACTACCTAGGTAAGGTCGTTTGGGCGAGAGTGGGTGATATCTGTCTAACCTAGTACCGGCGTTTGTGGTTGAAATGATAGATGACTTTGATGGTATCATCCTGTACGCGTGTTCAATGAGATGTAATCTTAATATTTGTTTTTCTTCTTGCATTTTGTTTTGGGTAAATATTATTACGAGAATCTCAAATATCACGATTTATTTTAGCTTGCTGTATAGCGAAGCGATTAGAAACCCGATAACTCTCCCTCCCCTGGGACCAAAGGCACGTGCACTCTTGCGTAAATAGTTAAGATCTATATTGGTTACGTAAACTCTCGTTTATTTTCCAGGAAAAAAGTATTCACGGTTATTGGGGGATATATTTACACTTCAGGATCGGAGAGTACTGTCCTCACAAATGTTGATTCATTAGTCATTAACTCGAAAGATAGAGTTGGAATAATTCTAGCTTACATTTTTAGGATATATTCTTCACGCAAAAAGCAAATTTATCATACGGTATCATTGCCGTACAAATTTTCACGTGTCTGGATCTTCGGGAATTATTTTGAAATAGTTTGTAAAATTGCCA